GAAATGTCCTTCTTTATACCTTGTGATGCTGTTTTTTCTATGAAATGTACTTTGTTTAATGTTAATTTATATAGTCTTCCACTATTTGGTAGGCAATGTATGGTGGAATTTACCCAATTTAACAATTATGTTCTTTTAAGTAGTTTTCAGTCCATTTCATTTACTGGGACTATTGATGCAGCCACGTTCAATCTTCATGTTGTCTTTAAAGCCTTATTACATCTGCCTCTTACTTTCTTTTTTTTCTTTAAATGGGGATATAAAAGATGACCCTACTTCATTTCCTTTTGTGTCTTACTCTAGCTTTTTGTTTTGCTGTATCTTTAAGGTTTTACAGGTACATATACACAATTGATCTTATCACAGCCTCCCTTTAAAGGATGCTCTAGTACCTCACATAAAATAAAAATGGTACAAAGCGCCATGGCATGTCTGCTTCCTGGCCTTTGTGATACTGTTGTTGTACATTTTATCCTCTGTGCTATAAATCCTACCATGCACTGCTATTATCTTGATTTAAACAGTCTATTAACACTTAAAGAGATTGAGATAATAGGAAAAGTGCGTCTCATTTACTCACAGTTATCATTCCCATGTCCTTTATTCCTTTGCATGTCTAGGTTTCTATTGGATGCAAGTTTTGTTTGGTTGATGTCATTCCCTTAACATTTCTAGTAGTACAGGGCAATGAATACCTTCACTATAGATATTAGGAAACTATATTTCTTTTCTTATTGGAATGCAATTTGCTCTGTGAAGGAAACTCTAGGTTATTTTCTTACACTGCTGCTTCATCTGCAGCTCTACGTTTCCCATCTCCACCATCCCTTGTTCCTGATAAAAATCAGGCAATCACTCTTCTTCTTGAAATAATCTCATTCCTCCTCTGGCTACTTTGAAGATACTGTTCCCTCACTGACTTATCAATTTGATCTTGTCTGCATTAGGTAGTTTTTTTGTTGTTACCTCAGAACACCTGATAAAGGCAACTTAAGGGGGAAAGAGTATATTTTGGCTGACAGTTTGTGAGTACTGCCCATGATCACAGGGAAGTCATGGCAGCAGGAACTTGTGATGGATGATCCCATTGTGCCCAAAGTCAAGAAGCAGAGAGCAACACTAGTGTTCAGCTTACTTCATCCTTTTTTATAAGGTCCAAGATCCCAGCCTAGAGAATGGGGCCACCCACAGTGGGTAGGTCGTTCTACCTCCGTTAACCTAATCAGGATAACTTCCTCTAAGTATGCCTAGAGGCCTGGCAATGGTAGGATATGCCTTTAATCCCAGTGCATGGGAGGCAGATCTTGGAGTACGAGGCCAGCGTGGTCTACAGAGTGAGTTCCAGAACAGCCAGGACTACACGCAGAAACCCTTCCTTTGGGAGAAATAAATTACATGCAGAGGCCCATGTCCCACATAATATTAAGATCCCATCCAGTTAATATAAACTGTCATACTGTTGTTAGTGACATTTTCTAATGTGACTGAATAGGAAGGGGACATTTTTAGTTTCTTAGAAGCTCCACGAATGGTTTTCTTCTGTTTTTTTCAGTATGTTCCTCCTGCTGGAGACCTCAGAAGATAACTTTGTTTAGCTCTGGAGCTTCCGGACTGTGGAGCCCTCTGCTTCCAGGCACCCTGAAGACTTACAACCTCCCCAAATCTCATGCTGAGCCTGGAAATGTCCTTAGTCTGAGAAAATGGACCGAGGAACCTAAGAAAGCCTCACTAGATAAGAAAAGAAGTGTTCTTACAAAGGTATTCTTATAGGATATAATGACTCTCAGAAGTATGATGACATCTTTCATAAAAAGATGAACACTTAAAATTAGTTTAGTTATAGTATATAGTTATACCAATGTCTGAATGAAAGAAATTTACTAAAAATCATGTACTCAATTATTCAGGACGTATTCAGCAATAGCTTATATATGCAAAATATATTGCAAGTCTTGGAAATACAATAGTAGAAATCCTTATGCATAATCGGGAGATGGGGGGCACATGATTAACAAGTAAATAGACCACTTGTAGACCTATGACTCCTGGCAAAGGTCACCTTCTACCTTATTAAAATACTCCATGATAAAAGCAGCCTCTACTCCTCACTCAACAGCAGGGCCAGAAGCAGGGAAACACCCCCAACATAGCAACCCCCTGCATTCACCCCATTGTTAGCCTCAGTGCACTTTCCATTTCTCCACTTCTTTCCTAAGAGTACCTTTCAGTCTGTTTTTATCACAAGCATCCTTATTTGCCACCCTCATCATCCCAAGTCCCCTGATTAGGAGAGACTTTTTCCTCTGCAATTTATATAACCTCTCTTGAGTAGTTCAAGCTTCCAACAAGCAACTTGCCTTTACTATAGACATGAGTAAAACAAACCAGAGGATTGGGAAATGGCTCAGCAGATAAGAGGGTGCTTGCTGTGCAAGCAAGAGGACCAGAGTTCAGATCCCCAGTACACATGTAGCAGTGGGTCCTGCCTATAACCCCAGTGCTGGGAGGGATGGAAACATGGGAACAGAAGGCTCACTGGGGCTTGCTGATTGCCGGCGTAGCTCTAGATTCTGTGAGACCCTGTATCAAGGGAACAAGAGAGTCATCCTCTTCTGGCTTTCCTACAGCACTCTTACCTCATACACACATGCACAAACCCTCATATATCATGTTAGTAGACACTTGTGACCACACACACATACACACTCTCTCTCTCTCTCTCCATCTCCCTCACACACTCCTTTCTCTCTTCCTGTCTCTCTCTCTCTCTCTCACACTCCCCATCTCTCTCACACACTCCTCTCTCTCTCTCTCTCTCACACACACACACTCTCTCTCCATCTCTCTCACACACTCCTCTCTCTTCCTCTCTCTCTCTCACACACACACACTCCCCATCTCTCTCTTCCTCTCTCTCTCTCTCTCTCTCTCTCTCTCTCTCTCTCTCTCTCTCTCTCACACACACTCCCCATCTCTCTCACACACTCCTCTCTCTCTCTCTCTCACACACACACACACACACAAACACTCCCCATCCTTCTCCTCCCCTTTCTCTCGCTGTCACACACACTCCTCTCTCTCTCTCTCTCTCTCTCTCTCTCTCTCTCTCTCTCTCTCTCACATACACACACACACTTGTCCTCCCTCTCCCCCACACATATACACACTCCCACAAGCAAACATCCTTTCCCTACATCTACTTTGTAGAGCCCAAGCCAGCATTCCTGATCATATGATTCATGAAAGAGAGTCAGTCTTGTATTTGCCAAACCAGTTGAATGCTCTAAAAATGCCATAATTTTTCCTACTGCCCATGGCGCTCAGTCTATCATCACCACAAAGTAGAGAAAGGTTAACAACCTTTACTGCCTTTGCAAACATTGTCAAAAAGAAGAGGAGAGAGGGAGAGAGAGAAGGAGGGAGGAATGGACAAAGGGAGGGAGAAGAAAAGATATTAAACAGTTTCACAACCTACAAATTATTTCAAGAAAAAACACCCTGCCAGGCAGTGGTGGTGCATACCTTTAATCCCAGCCCTCGGGGGATATAGGCAGGCAGATCTGTGAAGCCAGCCTGGTCTACAGAGTGAGTTCCAGGACAACAGGACTACACAGTGAAACCCTGTCTCAAAAAAAAACAACAACAACAACAAAAAAACAAAACAAAACAAAACAAAAAACAAAAAGAAAGAAGGAAAGGAAGGAAGGAAGGAAGACAAAAGAAAGAAAATTCTGTCCAATTATGTTGACTCTCTGGTTACTGATGTAATTTGGAAGTCTTAAGAAATCAGTTGAACAGAACTGGAGAGAAATCACCTCCTAGACTCCAGCACAGCTACAAAGGCAAAAGAGGTAGGTAAGCTTAGTGATTCAATGCCTTCCTGCCCAGAGTCCCTATAATAAAACATACCAGAAATGTAAATCCTAAGGCTTTGTTAAGAATAGAATTTGTAGCCTGGCGGTGGTGGCGCACGCCTTTAATCCCAGCACTCAGGAGGCAGAGGCAGGCAGATCTCTGTGAGTTCGAGGCTGGGCTGGACCGACAGCCTCCAAAACAATACAGAGAAACCCTGTCTCGTAAAAAACAAAAACAAAAACAAAAAAGAATAGAATTTGTATATGGAAACTATTTTCAATGACAAGAATTTTTACATTTGGATCCTTTGCATTCTGAACTTTCCAAATATGTAGTGTGTGTGTGTGTGTGTGTGTGTGTGTGTGTGTGTAACTTCCACTCTATACATGTGTTTCACTTATGTAAGTCAAATTTGAAAAATCGCCCTATAACTAATAGACACTGTTGTCAAGGTCACTTCAGGAATATACTTTTTTCAGTGACAGTTTCTTTCTCCTAAGAATGTGAAGGCTTCCAGAACAAATGTGTATTCTATATTATAAGAAAACAACTTTTACTCTTACATATTTCTTTCTCCTAGTAGCTGCTGAAACCTGCGCTCTCAGATCTGCAAAATTGTTAATGGGAATCACTACCCCCTACTATGAACACTACATTAAACTCTAGGAGGAAACTTGACAGTTCTCAGTAATCTGTCAGAAGACGCTGGAAGCAGTACTGATGAGGACAGGTGTACAGATGGCATTAACCCCTCATTAAACGGAAAGATAAACAGTAGATATTCAAGCAATGAAACTGTACACAGAGCGCACACACTGCTCCATGCACTCAGGGTATTAATCTATCTCCTAGCAAAATAGTTGTGTGCTTGGTGAATAGGTATGGTGAAGGAATAAATGAAAGAATTAATATCCTCAGTGATAAGAGCAACCAAAACATATTTGTAACTTTAAAAAAAAGACAATGAGGTGCACTAAAATGCATACCACTAAAGAGAGCAACTTTCTGTTATGATGAATGGAGTTTTGGTTAGTGAATGGTTATGGCTTTAGTTTGCAAGGAAATTTACACAATGAACGTACTGCCCAAGCCTGGGGGTGTGTGTTTGAAAAAAAAATCCAATTCTTCTGGGGAATGATACTCACAGATTCTTTTCCCATCTTCTTTTGTAGCCGTGTTTGCCACTGGACAGCTTGCATAACGATGGCTTCCCACCTTCTTTCAAGGTTTACAATGATCAGCTGCATGGGCTGGTGGTCCGCGTTCAGATTGCAGGTGTCCCGGTCATCCAGAAGGTGCTGGCACAGCCGCAGAATGGAGGCCACCCCTCTACGGCGCTGCTTGATCTCATGACAGAGGGACTGCGATACAGAAAAAGACCAGTTTGCATGTGTTTGTAAGACTGACTTCTGAAAGCATGAGATAATCACTTCCACCATCATTTCACAATGTAGGGATGTGCTGAGCTTCAAAAACTAGGGCAAGAAGAAGGGACCTACAATTTCCTTGAGATTGGTAGCCTCTGATACATAGATAATGAATGCTAGGGAAATAGGAGCCTGTTTCCTATTTCCCTTTCTACTGATTTGGTTTCCAAAATGGAAGATCTTGCCTTGACACCCGGGTATTAACAATGTCTCACATGATAAAAAAAATCACTTAGGTCATATGAATTGTGGATAAACAGACTGAGGGTGTTGGTTCAAGGTCAAAGGAAACACAACAACAAATAAACAAGCCTCCCCCAAATGTAATTAGTCTTATAAATGTATCCCTAGATTCTTTGGAAGGAAAAAGTTCAGTATTTTATTGGCAAAAATAAATAATACTGCAAAGAATTTTCATGTGTAAACTCTATTATCTAAAAAACAGTGGGCAATATTTCTCTTCCAATGCTTGATTAACAAAGCAATAATGTTCCTCAAACAGAAATCAAGATACTGGGTTTTTACTGCACAATTTGCTGGTTGCTCTGTTTATTTTAATGGCACTCACACCATTTAAAAAGGATATGCATGCATCAAAATTGCATTTTGCCTCTCAGAAGCATTTGTATTGCTGTGCTGACCCTAAGCTGAACGATTGAAACAAAATAGTGGGTACACATGTCTAAAAATATTATGTCCTTTCTTTGCCTACGGATAGTGTGTAAGTGATATTCTAATTCAAAGCCTTCAGGAGAAATGATGGTTATGCCCACAAACATCACTGAATTACTAATCTCATTCTACTGCCACAATTGGACTGTTCCAACAGTTAGCAGATTGCTTATTAATCAACAAGGGTAAACAAGACAATGCAATTTCATTTAGTGTGAGGGTTTTAATGCCTGAAAGTATTTGTGCTTAAAATGTTAATCTAGATAAGGCTTCATTAGAAGAAGTCTTAAGATGATTAAGTGCTGTTCACTGAATTGTGCACGGAGTAGGAGTAGTTGATCAGCAGGTGGACATTCCATACAGATGTTCCACTTACTGATATAATGCATGTTGTATCCATTTAAACGACCCTAACTCGGTAATAGCTGGAATTCTATTATTTCTATAATGAGAGAACCTGTACCTTTAATATTTCTGAATTTTAAAAGAGGTGAATACCAAATTTCCAAACCTCAATTTATGGCAAAATATGACTAGGAATTTTATTATTCACATCTTGCCAGAGCAGCTGTTTCAACTAGGTTTCCTGAACCAATCCTTATTTACTTTCCTAGGGTATGTGACTATATTCCTATATAACCCCTGATACCACCCTGGTTCTGACAAATTCCTTTACTGATGCTATTCTCCAGTTCTGTGCTGAGGACAGAAAACCCCTAGACAAGCAATGATAAACTTGAAGTCTAGTAAAGCAATTATAATGTTATCATTTCCTCTAGCAGTTCTCCCAGCTACCTCTTCAACCCACTACCCTCACTTCCACCATGAGACACATGCACACATACACACACATGCACACACACCCATGGTCATCCATGCACATACCCCCACGCACACACATGCGAACACACAAACACATACATGGAAACACACATACACATACAAACACATTCACACATGTTCTTACTTCAAGTTGTTCTCTTAATCTACAAGTGTCAAGTCATCCAAATGATGAAGTCCACTTAATACCTACCAAATTTTGACCCAATATTGATACTCAAGAAAGTGTTATGATTATGGCCAATTGAAATTGGTTCAAATAATATCTACAGATGTGAATATTGATGATTTGGGATTTTGAACTGTGGTTAACTTGTCAAAAGAAAAGGGCTAAAAATATCAGATGTTTTGATGGAACTGGATTTTGCAAACCTCTTTGTAGTAGAATAATAACTGTATATCTATATGTCAACGAAGAGTCTCAAAGTTCTTTGCTGAGGGAAAAATCATAATGAATTGCACTAAAAATATGTGTGGAGTTAGCTCAGGCCACATTTGCAAAGCAGCTCAGATAGGCTTCATTCCCCTCACAAAGTCCTCAAATAGGTTATTTGGGATGTAATAAACTTTTATGAAGATTATTGGCCACGATTTTTTGAAAGATAAATCAGCACTGTAAAAACTACAAAAGCAAGGATGAGGAGATGGGTTATGCCTCCTGCGTCGCAAAAATAAAAAGCTGAGTTCAAATCCCTACCACCTGGTTAAAAGTTAGGCATAGCTACGTGCACCTGTAACTCCCCAGTTGGAAGGTAGAAACAGGTAGCTCCTGAGAGCTCACTTACCAGGCAGCCTAGCTGAAGCTACACTAGGGTTCAGAGACATCCTGTCTCAAGGCATTAAAACAGAACAATACAGACATCTGATGTCCTCTTCTGGCCTCGTAGGTAAACACATAGGTGCATATACTCCTATGCTGATGTGACCTCACTATATACATACACCATAGCCCCCCCCACAAATACATTTCTAGAAATTTAAACTACAAAAGCAGGTACTGTTAACATCTAGTATCTGATGTTATCCTCACAATTCTGCAGTTTTCACTTGAAATATCTTAAGGGTTTAGTCTACATTCTGGATTAAATTTTTTCCATGTGAACTGTTCAAAGGAAACTAGAGAATTTTTTATACCTAACATTGTTTCAATATCTCTTTATACCTAGAGACAGTTGATAACATTCTCTTACATAAATGTGTTTCCCTGACAACCATCAAAATGCATTTATTTATAATCACACATACTAAATAAAATCAGTGGTTTCTTGGCAGCATTCCTTAGAATCAGTATTCTACATTATTTTTATAATAAACTGAGATACACATTCTCCATATGTACTGAGAAATGTTAAATATAACTAACGAGAGCAAATGATTATTATTATCTTTTGCCTTAGACTTTAGAGAAATATATTTTAAAAGACAGAAACTATGGCTAAGTAAGTAAGGTGTAGAATAAGACAAACATCCTTCCATGAGTTCCTCAAATCTGTAAATATCTTCTAATTGCTGGGCCTTCTTTCTATAATGGAGGGTTACACAGTGAGTAATTGTTCCTTCCCTTAAGGAGATGAGAATCTTTTAGAGATGAACTACATAAATAAGTAGTAGTACAGTACTGTGTGTGTGTGTGTGTGTGAGAGAGAGAGAGAGAGAGAGAGAGAGTAAGAGAGAGACAAAAAGAGAGATAGAGACAGAGAGACCAACTAATGTGTGTACAAGCAATTGCTGCTGGAAGTTCACCCATCTTTAAGGAAATGACAGGAGCGAGGAGGCCTAATATGAGTGATGGCAAGTATGGGGTAGAGCCCAGAGTCAAGTTAACTTAGAACGTGAACAAGTTGCCTTAGATGGTAAGGTGTTCTTACTGTGTTTGGGAAAAACTAAAGTACGAAGTAGCTGAAAAAGGTGAGGAGGCATAGAAATATCCAGAGCACTTGTCATTATGGCCAATTCTGAAGCATGCTCTACTGGAATCCTGTTGGTTCTGATGCATAATCACAGTCCCTTCTTAAAATATAATAAGAGGCAGAGAAAACAATTTTAAAAGGAATTTTGATATGTCTAAGAAAGGGATTCTGCTCGGGAGGCAGAGGAAGGCGGATCTCTGTGAGTTCGAGGCCAGGCTGGACCGACAGCCTCCAAAACAATACAGAGAAACCCTGTCTCATAAAACAACAAAAAAAAAAAAAAAGAAAGGGATTCTGAACGCTTTAGCATTGTACCAGCCCATCTTTGTCAGAGTCTAGTGTCGCCTCCCAGTAGAACTATACTGGTAGCTACTCTAAATCCCTAACTCTTTTGTTTATTTTTATAAAGTTCCCACCAAGTTTTGTCGTGATTCTAAAAATTAAGATTTGTACTAAACATGGAAAACCTAAAACAAATAATCAAACTTCCACAATACAAGGCTGAGAAGTCACCCCCTTTCCCTTTAAATTAGTCGGATGTCAACGCACTGAATGCACTTGTTTGGAGGTCACATTGTATGACAGCTGCTAACAGGGTAACAGCTTTTCTCCTGCAGTCGTACACTGCTAATCTGACTTTTAATTCAGCAATGGCAGTACACATGGTTTTGGGAGGGAAATGCTTTGTTGTGTATGTCTCCTGACTTAGTCCATTTTTTATGCATTAAAAAAACTTTTGTTTTTCTTTTGTGGTGCTGGGATTTGAACCCAGAGCCTCACAGATGGTAACCATGTGTTCCCCCATTCTCCACCAAGCCTAAACAGACATTCTTCATTGGCTTCAGACTTAGCAGCACCAAAGGGAAGACTATCAATGCCAGTGCTTCATTCATCACTATGTTAAACATTTGCTTAAATGAAAACATATACAAAGAAGTCACATTTAGTTGTATGCGTACATTCTTAACATCAAACAAGTGTTATCTACCTCACAAAATGCAAATGAATGCAAATAAACATACAATAAAAGAAGGAGTACAATTATTACAGGAACTACTATATTAAAAACATATGCTAAATAAAGAGAAGTGAGAAGAAAAAAAAAATCATTCAAAAGTCCCCCAAACTAAGTATATGTTGAACACAAAGAAGCAAATCTAACTGGAGAAACTCCAAAGCATGTTATCTTCTATATCTCTCATATAATTTTTATTCAGCATGTTAACCCTATTGGGTAGGGCAATATGAACTAAATGTTGGAATGCTAGATCATCTGATAAATGAAAAGAGCTATGAAGTAATTAATGCAGCTTACAAAAGTGAATATTACTTCACCTTCTGTATTGATCGACTATTTAACAAAATATACTGAGTATGTTATGTATGTGACAAGAACAATAATGAGGGAACAAGCTGCATATATGACACTTGACTGCCTTCAACCTAGTGTGAGGGAAACAACAGGATGAAAAAAGAATAGCAACATACAGTTGTGTTCGCGTTTAAATAGCA